TAAATATGATGGTAGAAGGATGCCTTGGTCCCAATAGTAACTGTTTGTGGCGCCCAGAATTTCTTCTACCACTGCAGTTTACGTATGGACTAAACTCAGTACCACAGTGTCGCTGGTGCCCACAAAATTTTCCAACAGCAGCAGGGAACACGACCAGGCCTGTAAACCATCATTTAGCCACCCAGTTCAGCTGAGAGCATTAGCAGAGGCAAAGAGCTGTCCGTTTCCTGACTCGGGAAGACAGAGCTATTCCTTTATAAATATGAGCTGTTTGGAAGAGACACTGGTGTTTTACAAGGCTGCCCTCGGGTCGTTCCAGTTCTGGTAGCCTTAATACTGAGGAGGCAGGGACTACTGATGCTGTGACGTCCCCTTTGCCACCAGCCAGTGCAGCAAGTGCCCAGGGTCAAGCGATACATGCAAAAGCACGTTACGTCAGCATCCAACTCGGTACGCAAAGCAAAATAAAAGTGTCAACCACAGTATGTATCAGTATTGTAAAACCCTCGACTACATAACATACCTCAGCTCAGCTTTCTTCGCTTCAACATCAAGCAAAGCCATGTGTTTCTCGTAGTTCTTTTCAGGGGGGTCAAGGAAGTAACGAGCTATCCAGCGACTTATAGGGTGCTGGAGAATATAAAAGCAGATTATTCATGCGATTTCCAAGCAGAAATGTCAGCATAACCAAATCACATTGCACGTTCCCAGTCCTGAAAACATGTCATCGACACTATGGGTGCTGCCATTCAAACCATAATAGTAAAATTAAAACCACGCTTAACTCAACTCTTTGTAACATCAGAACCCTAAAAAGCTGTATTTCTTTTGCCATTTTTAATGCCAAGATAATCTCCAGACAACTATTCCGTAGCAAAATTAAAAGTTAACAGAAGACATGTGATCTATTTTCTTTCTGTTGAAGTAAAGTTCCTTAAACTGCCACTGTAATCACAGAAATGGACTCCGAGCCTCTTACCATAATCGGTAACATTTTAAAGTTTTGCTTCCACATAGAGGTCATTTCACTAGGAACGAGGGTCTAAATGAGTTGACACGGTCATAACAGTATTGCTGAAGTCAATTACTTCCGATCAAAACCAAAAAAGTGCTTGCATCAAGAAGCCAGGGACTAATTTTAAGAAAATACAATGAAATGAAGAACCCTTGAGTTTCCGACTATAAAAATCTTCAATTCCAAACAACGCTAGCAAACAATACAGAAGAAAGTAATGTCACTTTAAACTCCAGTATCTTAAGATGTTGTAGTTCCAGAGCAAGAAAGAAAGACAAAAACCACGTGCCAAGAGCGAAGAGACCAGAAGACTGTTCTTACTATTTAGGAATATTAGAGACAAATTCTTGGCACATGGCTCCAGCAGTTTACTTGCATCAAGTTACAGATCATTTGCATCTACTTCTGTCAATAACCAGATTTCCTACAGCAACACACACGTTCCGTACAGCTGAAAAAAAAGCAAGTTTACCAAAACCATAATTGGACAACTCGAGTTCTACTACCCTGACACCCAATGGCAGGGATATTGCCATCCTCATTCTCATACTCTACACGTTTTACTCCCCAAAGCACCATCAAGAGGGAGGCTGTCCATAACGTGCCACCCTTTTATAGGTTACACTCACTTTGTAGTATTCCCAGTACTCTGGAATATAACCTTCGGGAATCTCTGCAAGTTCAGCTTCACCTGACAAGGAAAGGAGGGGAGGAACATTTCACACACGTATCTTTTCCTGAAGTACCTTATATTCTGCTTTTCACATTAAGGGAAGACCATTATTTCACACGCAGAGTACTTAATCCCTCAATCCGAGCTCCGTTCAGAAAAATTGGACTTGCAATTTCTCCAGACACTTCACACTACAAGTATTTAAGTCACAGACTTTAAGCCACACAGCAAAAGGGTGAAATCAGCAGCTGTACAGGAGAGGTAACTAAGATCAAGTCCACAGAAATGCCCTTTAAAGTGTATGAGCCGGATGGATTTTTCCTAATTTCTCTATTAAGTTAATTCCATATTATTATAGTAGTAGATTTAAACTCATACTGCCAAGCAGAATTTTGGCTTTTTTGCTAGATAAAAAGTGACAGTTTCTGCGTATGCAGCCTTCTTAACGAAGCACATAAAACAAGGTCATAGAGACTCCTCATTTGAATACAGGAGAGCTGTTCACTAAACCTCACTGATGTTTGAATGACTGTCAAAAGATGGAATTTGTCCATTTAAAAAAAAATGCGGAAAGCTTTTAGAAAAAGAGCAGCAACTACGGAAAAATAAAAATACTGGGAACATCTTCTATGTACTTATACAATATTACCATCACTGTTAGGCCTATTTCATGGTCTTCCAGAGTGCAAGCCTTGGAAGATCTCTTTTTTCTATCCAGCATGCTTAGTTTGCATTTAATAATTTTGACCGTGTACCCAGTCGTGACAGCGCACTCACCAATGAAGATGTTGACGTATGTTATGAATAGTGCCACTGGTATTCCCGTCAGAAATATATAGAATCTCTGTACAGGGGATAAAAAGAAAAAAGCAGCAGTATGGGAAACTCAGAAGGCTGACAAAATTTGGATGAGGTTAATCTGAAACCGATGTAACAACCAATAATTCTGAGATTTGCATTCATAGGTTAGATAGGGATGTTGTACGCAAAGACATATTGCTGCTTACAGTGAGTTAATTAGCAAACCAGAACACAGAAACAGCGCTGCTGTGTCAGTCCATGAGCCTGCCTCGTTCAGCTTTTGGTCTCCCACAGAGGTCGGTCTCTGCAGAAGCAGACGGTAATGCTTTCCCCCAGGGCTTGCTCAGCACCTTGCGGTGCCTGGCTTCAGCAATGAGCCCCTGCAATGAGGCACCAGCACCGAAGCAATGTAATCCAACACAAATACAACCCCTGCTGGCTTTGGTAGCTGCGGAGGGCAGGCAAAGGAAGCCTGATGACACCAGGGGAGTTGTATCAAGTTGGCTGTTACCCGTCATAACAGGTTTGACCCAAAACCTAGCTTTTTAGGGGTCAAACTCACATCAGGCTTCCTAAGTCTGATCTCTGGTATTAGTGGTTTAGGTAATGGAAGGCAGACCCTGAAGAAGAGTAACCTAATACGTTTTAAAAAAGAAGGCAGAGTGGAAAGCGTTCATAGGTTACGCGTACATGAACACAGACACATAATTTAAGAATGCCACTGCAGCATTCATTTAAGTACCTATCACAATCTTTGCCATTTAGCCAATCTTTTTATTTCCTCTAGCCCTGATTTTACAACATTATGACAAAAAATTCTTCAGGAGGAGGACTGGAAATTCTCCTTTATGTGAGTACTGCCAACCACACGCTGTCATGTGAACAACAGACAATTGTATTTTAGACACTCTTACACCGTTTGCAAGGGACGTGTTTCACTGAATGTAATAAATTTGTTTTTAACTCACCAACAAGTTCACAAATCGAGTATCATAAAAACTTGTTGCCTTGATAATAAACATTCTCTTCCCATGGCTGCTGCTGTGTCGCACAGGAGCTGAAAATTGAAAGGCATTATAAAGTATTATGTTTTTTTTCTCCTCTTGGGGATTGTGCCAGGACAAGGTCAACAAAGCATGTGGAGAAAAAAAAAAAAAAAAACAACAAAAAAGCCGCTGTGTGAACCCCC